CGTTCTCTGTAGTTTAACAGTCTTCAACATGGAGGACAAGATTCAATGGAAGGATCAATGGGAAAAATCGGAGACCAAAAGGTTTCAAAATTCAAAACCACCATCATCGTCATCTTCTCTAAATCATTCCATAAAAACCTTACACTGTTCTATAATCTCATGAATCAGATACTTCGAAGACTAGCTCAGAATCGAGAAGCAGCTAGGAAAAGTCGATTGAGAAAAAAAGTATTAACCTTATCACACCTTCTTTCCTACGCACACTACATGTTCGATGATTTGCCTAAATAATCTCCATAATCATCACAGGCATACGTTCAACAACTTGAAAACAGTCGACTCAAGCTTACACAACTTGAACATGAACTTAAACAAGCTCGCCAACAGGGTATGTTAATTGCCAGTGGAGATCAAAGCCATCTACTTGGTTCAAATGGTAATATCACTAATCAACCCTAAATTTTCCCAAAATCACAATTCGATTATTCGATCAAGATCATGAAAAACATGTCAATCAACAGGAGCATTAGCATTCGACATGGATTATGCAAGATGGTTAGAAGATCATCAAAGACTAATCAACGATGTGAGATCAGCATTCAACACTCATGCAAACGATAACGAGCTTCGTGTTCTTGTTGATGCAATCATGTCACATTACGATGAAATCTTCAGACTCAAATCCATAGCTGCAAAATCCGATGTGTTTCACCTACTTTCCGGGATGTGGAAGTCACCAGCTGAACGTTGTTTCATGTGGATTGGTGGTTTTCGATCATCAGAGCTTCTCAAGGTTTGACCAACACTTTGACTTTCTTCGATCCCAATTTATTTTGACTTTTTGTTTTTGAATAGATACTCGGGAGCCATTTGGAGCCATTAACAGATCAACAGTTAATGGGGATATGTAATTTACAACAATCTTCACAACAAGCTGAAGATGCTTTATCTCAAGGTATGGAAGCATGGCAACAATCACTTGTTGACACTCTTTCTTCAACCTCTGGTGGATCTGTTGATTACATGGGCCAGATGGCTATGGCTATGGGGAAGCTTGGAACACTTGAAAACTTTCTTCATCAGGTAATACGAATTATATACACCTCAAGATTATCGAAAACATTGAGAAAAAAAGTTTTAAAAAAATGCTATCTTTTGGTAGGCTGATTTATTGAGACAACAAACGTTGCAACAATTGCATCGGATATTGACCACAAGGCAAGCTGCAAGGGCACTTTTGGTAATTAATGATTATATGTCAAGACTTCGTGCGTTGAGTTCTTTGTGGTTAGCAAGACCGAAGGACTGAAGTTTGGTCAAATTGTGGTCAACGAAATGGAAGGTTGAAAAACAGCTGAAAATTTTAGGGTGGTTGTATACTTGGTTAGTTTGATTTGGGATTTTATAGGATCTTTGATCTTTGATATTGTATATTATGATAAGTTAGTCGTTTTGTTTCAGAGTTTAAATTGATAAATCTAGAGCAATGTACAACCTTCATTGTAGGAGTTACAAGTTGTGAAAGCTTATATTGCTCTTGATTTGTTGATTATGGCTTTTGGAGAAACGATTTACCTTCGCTATTTTGCGTTTATTAACGAAATTGTAGCATCTTTTATAAAGTGTAAGATTTTTTGGATGAGGGGGTCAAGTTGACCAAAGAGCTAAAGTACAGGGACAAGGCAATTTGAAAATAAGAAAAATATCCTGAAACCGACTCATTATCCTGTTTAACATGGAGGGAAATTCTATGAAGTTAGATGTATAAGAAAACGACAAAAATACCCTCATATATTCGATGGCCTACATATAGTGCAAGGGCATTTATGTCATTTAAAAACATAATGCATGGTCTTGATACAAGTACACGAGTCCTATGAGGCTATTGATGATTCAAGATTCTTCCGAGGTTTGTAATGTCTTTTTCTTGACCGGTGTACACCGCCACGAGGTATGAAAACTCCGGTGCCACCACCACCGTTTGCCGCCCACAACCTCTCCATCCAACCAGGAACCTCAACCTACCCACTTTCCGACCAACTGAAAAAATAATTTCCCGGCATCACTGACCACCCACCACCGACTGATCTCCGGTTGAACCTCCGGCCACTCTTTTTCTTCACTTGAACATCATCATCTTCGTCTGTAAGAAGCAATATCTGTCTTGTGAGTTCAGCATAGAAATCGTCATCATTTGGGGTGGAGGTGTTGAAACTGTGATCCATTGGGGGATGGAGTGTTGTCCGGTGGTGTTTTGGTGGTGGTGGGTGGTGTTTAAATAGGTGAAAAAAGGTGGTGAGAGTTGGTCAACGGAAAGTGTGTAAGGTGGAGACGAAATTGGAATAATAAAAAAAATGGATAATGGAAGATTACAAGTTCACAAGTCATTTGCTGGAGCCGTGATTACTGGGTGGGGTCACCGTTTCTTGACCCGGTTGATTGAGAGGTGTTAATGAAAATATACTAAAACATTTTAAATTATAAAAATATGTGTAAAGTCAAATTAAAACAATTGATAAAAGATAAAAGACTTAAATCAAATCAGTCGACCATCCGAAAGAAAGGGATAATGTACATGCACGCTATGGGAACACGGGTGGAATAATGAATATGCAAGCCATACTTCATTAAGTACTTTGTTTGTTCTTTTTATCATTTTCCATGTGTAGTTTAATAAAAAACATTTGAGTTGTATGTCACAATTCTAATAGTTATACCTATTTTATATTTGAAGTGAAGTGAACTGCGATATAAATTATAAGTCTAAATATTCAATAGTTGATTATTTATGTTAAACAGTAATATAATCATAAACCCACATATGTACAACTTGGTTAGCTAACAAAATAAATTAGCAACAATACAATTAAGTTTTTTTTTTAACACCAATGAACAAATATAATTTGAATATTTTACTCCATATTTATTTTAATTAATCTTGAACTTCTAAATTAATTATTTCTAATTTAATTAAATCTAAAATCCCCTAACAATCGGGGTGTTAAAGTAAATCAGAGGAAAGAAAATATGGTTATTGACTAAATAGAGATCCCCACTTCGTTATTTTGTTAAACTAGGTTACATATAAACCATCACACATAAACCATGTGAAGGTTTTGAAAGGACGAACATACATGAATGTGTTCTAGAATGTAATTTACCATTTTGTTACTTTGTTCCTTTCTACTTTACTATCTAGACTACACAAGTCTCAACCCACTCAATGAAATAAATGCACATGATACTGATTTAAAAACTCAAACTTCGTTGTGAAAGCATTAATAAAATTAAATTATTTTTTCCCAAAGCATGGATATATATATATATATATATATATATATATATATATATATATATATATTAGGTGCGACACCCATATATTACATGAGTTTATTTAAAAAAAGAATTAAATATGAAATTCTAAACATTTGAAGTTTGAATTTATAAAAAAAGTGAGAAAAATATTGAATTATTAAAATTAAAGTGTTTTTTCTTTTAAATTTAAACAAATAATTTAGATAAATAAACAAAAGAAACTAATGAGAGTTTAATTTAGTAATTTTAAAATTAGAAGGAATCCATTAATAAAATTAATATGCATTTATTATTATATTTAAATATTTTGCAGAATTTAATAAAATGAAAAAACTATAAAAAAAATGTGAAAAAAAAATGAAAATAATAAGAAAAAGTCATGTGGCATAATGTATTAGAAGATGACAAGTGGCAAAATTATTTTCATTTATTAGGGAGGATAGTATCACAAAAAATTGGAAAATTCATATCAAAGTACAATTTCATAATAGTGGATAGCTCCTCTACGGTAATGTACTCACCTTAAACGTGTATATTATCTTTTCTCTTACATTGCTAGTTAAAATAAACACCAAGATCACCTAAATAAACATAATATAGGTAAGCCATTAACACAACAACCGATAATTAGAAAATTAAGGTTAATTACTAAATTCATTTGACTAATTTCAACTCATAAGTACTCAATACATGACTCTATGGAAGCAATGAAAGCAACCAAAATATCACCCCGTGGCTAAGGTCAAGTAAAATCTCATGAAATTTGACACATTAATACATGGCCGAGTAGATAACAAAGAAATTCACATAACCTTTGGTTTGATATCAAACATGCCATTACAAGCAATAAAGATGCACAAATTGCTACCTAAATTCAAATTTGATGAAGCACATCCCTAAATTTAAATTTGATGTCAAACTTGCCATTATGATGTTCATCCTCGGATTAAAATTTGATGAACATAGTACTCCACCATTAATACAAGCTTAACCAACAAATAGATGGAATGAATTGCCACCCTACAAGTTTCACATATTAAGTAAGAACTTCAACATGACTTCAATTCTTCTCTCAATTTTGAATTCCCCTTCAAACTTAAGATACCCCTATCATTTCTTCAAGTAAAAACAATCCAAATGAAACGGGGTGAGAACGGGGTTGAGAACGGTTAGGACTCTTAAAACACATCAACTCCAAATCTTGATAAGTCAACACCTATTTTCTATACCTTTATTGTTTAAATTTTTTTTAAATTTTAAACGGTTAGGACTCTTACAGACGAACGGGGGTCCGGGGGCAGCGCCCCTGGGAGCGGGGTCCAAGGGGCGGCAGCCCCTGGCGGGGTCCAAGGGGCAGAGCCTTATATAAATAACCCGGATTAGTGACATGTTTCAGACATCAAACTGTTTTTGTAACAATTTTCAGACATACAACTGTCTGGTGACAGTTTTCTGATGCAAATGTTACTTAACTAATTTTTGGACTTCATTTTGATGGTACACACGAAATTCATAACGCCCAGATTCTCTGTTCTTGCTCTCATTTCTGAGTCTTATCCGATTAAAGGTTGGGAGTATCACCCAAATACTTTAATCTGAAAGTGTATACACAATTCTCAGAATTTCCAAGCCTTTTTCTATACCCCAATTTCTTACACCTAGTTTCATTGTTCTTCCGTGTTTTTTTATGTCTTTTTGATCTGGACCTGTGATCTGGACCTGTGTAGTACCGCTGCACGAGGTATGAACACTCCGGTTCCGCCACCGTTTGCCACCCACAACCTCTCCATCCAACCAGGAACCTCAACCTCCCCACCTTCCGACCAACTGAAAAAACAGTTTCCCGGCATCACTGACCACCCACCACCGACTGGTCTCTGGTTAAACTTCCGGTCACCCTTTTTCTTCACTTGAACATCATCATCTTCGTCTGTAAGAACCAGTATCTGTCTTGTGAGTTCAGCATAGAAATCGTCATCATTTGGGGTGGAGGTGTTGAAACTGTGATCCATTGGGGGATGGAGTGTTGGCCGGTGGTGTTTTTGGTGGTGGAGGGTGGTGTTTAAATAGGTGAAAAGGGTGGTGAGAGGTTGTCAACGGAAAGTGTGTAAGGTGGTTTGGTGGAGGCGAAATTGAAATACGATAAAAAAAAATGGATAATGGAAGATTACAAGTTCACAAGTCATTTGCTGGAGCCGTGATTACTGGGTGGGTTCACGGACTCGTGGTTTCTTGAACCGGTTGACTGAGAGGTGCTAATGAAAATATACTAGAACATTTTAAATTATAAAAATATGTGTAAAGTCAAATTAAAATAATTGATAAAATATAAAGACTTAAATAAGTCCGAAAGAAAGGGATAATGTACATGCACGCTGTGGGACACGGTGGAATAATGAATATCCAACTTTCATTAAGTACTTTGTTTGTTCTTTTTATCATTTTCCATGTGTAGTTTAATAAAAAAAAATTTGAGTTGTATGTTACAATTCTAATAGTTATACACATTTTACATAATTATATTTGAAGTGAAGTGAAGTGCGATATATATTATAAGTCTAAAATATTCAATAGTTGATTATCTCTAAATATTATTAAAAAAGAAACTCTATGACATCACTTTAAAAAATCTCGACCATTGATTGTATTTCAATTCTATGTTTTCTACTCTTTAGATCAAATTGATGACATCATCTTCTCCAAATGGAATGTATTTAATTACAATAAAAACTTTCCAATTTTTAAACAAAATTAACTTACATCCGTTGAAATGGAATGTATATAATTCAAATAAAATCTTCCCATATTTTAAATCTTGAATTTCCGGTTATAAAGATTTTAATATGGTCACTTTAAAAACATATCAGTAACAAACCATTTCAATTAAGACATTAATAACAACCATTAATATAAATCTGTTTATATTAGTAAACCATTAATATAAAATCTATTTTTATCAGGAAAGCATTAATACCACAAAATCAGATTCAAATTATCACATACATATACGATTCATCATTGAATTTGCAGTTCACACTTATTTTCAATCGTTGCTTTTTCTTCAAACATTCTCCTGCAATATCATTCTTATTGTTTATAACTTCCATCATCATTCTCTGTTTCAAACCTTCGTTGTTGTGTAGTAGAAGGTCAGTACCTTTTTTCGCTTTTTATATTTTTTTCGATTATTTTTTTGTTCCTACATCAAATATATGTATTCATATATTTCGATTTTTTGTCACAAATTACATGAAATCGGTTAACTACTTTTCTGAACTTTTCAAATAAACAGGAAAAGATATTACGTACCTTTAACAAAACAGAAATTAACTATCTTTGGAATTGACACTAATTAGGAAAATGTTATTTTTATATATTAGAGATGATTATGATTTTTTTTTGTAATTATTATGTCATAAGAATCCGGTTAATTTTGATATGATTTTAAAATATTTTGGTATGATCCTATTACACTTTTAGGTTGATTTAATAGGAAATAATATATAATCTATTTATGCATCCTTTGAAATTAAGTATGGAAACAATTTTGTTGACAACTACAATAACTTTCATACCTCTTTATAAATCATACCTCTTTATAGATACATACATTGTATACATACCTTTTATTTCATATTAAAGTACTTTTTAATTCTAATTGTTTTCTCTTTCATTTTACACCCATTACACAAAACAATCGCGATGAGATCGTCTATGATAAAGTTGCTGGCATCGATGCATCCAAGGAAACCTGAAACATTCGTGTTCAAGTACTCTTGCTTTGGAAGTAAACTTAAAAAACAACCCAAACATGTTCAGCAGCTTGGACATGATTTTAATTGACGAGGAGGTACAATTTTTTTCTTTTTATTATTATGTTGCTTTTAATTTATAACATTTTAAACTTAACCAATTTTTTTCACTTACATGACACTAAAATACAAACAATAATAAAAAATCTCATTAGTTCGTTTGAAGCCTTCTTTGTTGAAGGATATGTAAGGGAAATTAGTAGTTTTGGTATGACCAGAAATGAAGGAGATTACATGGTGGTTGATCATAAGCATAAGAATAATTTCTACAAAAGAACCAAAGTTCGTGTATCAAATGATTTTGCTATTATGGTGGATCCTTATAATTTTGTGACTTTCCAGGATTTGATAGCCAGGTATCTCGACACTCGTGTTGCATTTGGTAAGATTTTATTTTACATTCTACCTTATCTACATGTAAATATTTATTGTATTACACATCTATAATATAACAACCATTTATTTATTTTTTTGTTCTAGATTTTCTTGGTCAGGTTGTGTCAACTAATCCCATGAAAGTGATTATTGAAAATTCAATGGAGAAACGATTAATGAACCTGGTTGATGAAACATCACAAAAATACCGTCCAAAAATTTCGTTTTTAAACCATTAATAAAGCCATAAATATCTTCTTCATATAAAATCATAAGTCATGTATCACAGTCACATGTCAAAATATATCAGAGTATAAACATCCCAGGTTAAACAAATGGTGTGTGCACTGCAATCTTCCCGAGCTCCTCTTTTGAAAACTGAGTACCTGAAACCAAAACTGAAAACCGTAAGCACGAAGCTTAGTGAGTCTCCCCAATCTACCACATACCATCTACACATAGCATGCAACTAGGAGATACGGGCCCCGCCCACACTCTACTATCTAGGAGATACGGGCCTCGCCCAACTCCGCTATCTGGGAGATACGGGCCTCGCACACACTCCACTATCTAGGAGATACGGGCCTCGCCCACACTCCACTATCTGGGAGATACGGGCCTCGCCCACACTCCACTATCTCTGAGGTACGGGCCTCGCCCACGCTCAACTACTTCGAGATACGGGCCTCGCCCACACTCGACTACTAAACCCAACATACAAGTATCACACAGACAACATGTAAAGTTAATCTACTGTTCATACATCATAATCAACTACTACTATGAAATACGGGCCCCACCCACACTCGACTAATAAGAGATACGGGCCCCGCCCACACTCAACTACTATGAGATACGGGCCCCGCCCACACTCACTAGTCATGAAAATGCATACAAGCTCTAAACGAACAACAGATATCACTAGCATATAAATATATACCATATCAGCTATCTATGAGATACGGGCCTCGCCCACACTCAGCTACTATGAGATTCGGGCCCCGCCCACACTCGCATTCCTAACAACATATACAAGCATCACACAGACAACAAGTATAGCAATCCAATAATCTAACTGATATCTATACTCAGATAATAATGAGATACGGGTCCCGCCCACACTCAACTACTAATGCATCACATATACGGGCCGACCTTGGTGCCTTAGACCCGTTCCTACTGGAAGAGGACTCACCTCGCACTGCTGAAGTCTTGTAGACATAACCATAGCTGCTGGATGACAGATTCCCGATCTGTCAATATCAAAATAACACCCAATTAATCATTGGGTTCCAACTCATAACCATAAGTCCAAACTTGGGTAAAAGACTACTTTACCCCTATCTTATCTTGACTCAAGCCCAATGCCCAATCCAAAGGGCCAAAAGTCTAATAATGAACCAAAGCCCAACTATGGCCCAGTTTTCTAAATTGGGCCCAACCTCCACAAATCATTCATTCTTGGTCCAACACTTGCCATTCTCATGGTCCAACACCTCATAATCATCAAGGCCCAAACTATGGCCTTTCTATGGCCTAATTTTCCAAATTGGGCCCAAACCCTCACATGGGTCTTACCCTAGGCCCATTAAATTATTCTAGCCCAATTGCTTGTTCTTGGATGGCCCATTATCATCCCAATCATCAAAGTCCAATAGAAAGACCAACTCAAGGTCTAAGTGAAACTAGGGTTTCACATAAAATGACAATTAGGGTTAAGTGTTTCTCACTTAACCCTTTAAGGACTTAATTCATTAAGTCCATCTCTCTACTAGATAAATCATATGGTGTAGTTGGGCTTAATACACAATCTAATCCCCAAGGCCCAAAGTGGGTCCAAATAAGTCTATGGCCCAATTACTCACAATTAGGGTTTTCTAAACCCTAATTAGGGTTTCCACCCAAACATGGCCCAATAGGCCCAAAATTAATCTTTAAGCCCATTAGGGTTTTGCTAGTGGGGAACCACCCACTACCACCTCGGGTAGTGGCGGTCCATGACGGCTCGCGGCGGCGGCCACCACCTTACGGTGGTGGTTATTATTATTTTTATTATTAATCAAAGCTAATTACAATTACAATGCTTTAATCTAAAATAACCACCCACACTAACTATCATGAACACTCACACACACACACGCACAACCACCCTAGTAGTGGCCAGCGGCGGCACATGGCGGCAGCAAGCGGCGGAACGGCGGCACGCGGCGGTGATGGATTTTTCCTTCCAGTTCCTGTCCAAAGAAGACCTACACATCAGTAACCTTGTGAAAACGAGCATACACATAACCAATCACACACACAGCCACCCTCGCATGGTAGCTGGTGGTGGCAGAAAGAACGACGTGGCGGCAGAAAGCGATGACAGGGGGCGGAAGCCACCATGGTTGGCTGCCATGGTGGTTGATTGTGATTTCCGGCAGCTTATTCACACACACACTCGAATGGATGCAATCCTTCGCCACTCTAAGTTGAGTATGCATCAAACACACGCAGTAACACACACTTCGCCGCCACCCTTATGGTGGCAGATGGTAGCCAAAGGACTCAACGAAAGGAAACTGACCGGAGAAAGGATGGCGACGGGGCTCTAGAAAATGACGAGAGAGAAGAGGAGAATGCATTACCGGCGGAATAGATGCAGCAGCGACACGAGTTCACCGGTCTTCACAGTCCCCGACGGTGGTAGCGCACGAGGTTTGGCTCCGAGTTCCGGCCTCTCCCTTCGTCTCCGGCAGCAAATCATGCGGTGGCGGTGCTCAACGGCGTGGCAGTCGGCGACCCTATCTGATCGGAATAGAGAACCATGGAGAGGTGGTGGCGGC